ATTCAAGTAATTTAGATACCCCTGGCCCCACCAAAGTACCAAAAAAGAAAGAAAAAAATAATGAAGGTACCCAAAGGAAGCACAAACTACTTGCCTGTGTGCGAATGTTACTGGGGTCAGCACCCAAGTTCTCAAGAACACGGGCAGCCACACCTTCACCTTCACGCAGCAATCCAAGTAGCAAGTGTTCCGAGCCAATGTAGTTATGCCCTGTATGAAAAACCAATCAGCACAGACAATAACCAAATGACTTTCAGAATTCGATGAAGCTCATGCACGGAAAGGACAAGAGAGGAAAATGAGAAAATAAATTAACTATAGAAAATCGTGCCTACAACAACTAAATTAAAATAGATCAAAAAGATAATTTTTTTTTTATGTCTGAAAGACAACCCAAGAAAAGACTGAAATGATTAGATAAGGTACCTAGTTGGCGGGCTTCCTCCAGAGAGAGTTCAAGAACACGCTTTGCACGAGGAGTAAATGGAATCTCAACAGCAACAAACCCACTACCCCTTCCAATTATCTTCTCCACCTCCACACGAGCATCTTTTAAATTGATTCCCATGGATTTAAGAACTTTAGCTGCAATACCAGTTCCCTCACCAATAAGACCCAACAAAATCTGCTCTGTGCCAACGAAGTTATGACCTAGTCGTCTGGCCTCTTCTTGTGCAAGCATAATGACTTTTATTGCTTTCTCAGTGAAGCGCTCAAACATTGCTTTTGGGACAAACCGGCAACCTTTTGGCCGCCTAACAGAAGTTGCAGCTGCCACTTTTGAATGGAGAGTTTGTCCAGATTTTACAAGTGTATCTACTGCATTGCACCCTCGCAGTCCTGTAAAATTGGTCAACCTTATGGAGGGTGATTGTACATTACAGAGCATTTTAACAGTTTTTTTGTTTTTCCCAGATCCACTAAATTGCCTAGTCCTTTCACCGGCAACTGAAGATGGGATGTTAGTTGACTGAACTAAAGCTCGAGCCATGATGGACCTGCAATTGATATGATAGCATGTCATAAAAACTCACTTGTGACATTTGGTAAAATATCAAGGTTCATATTACTTAACAGAATAAGGATATGATCAATTGGAATTCCCAATTAGTAAACATAAATAAAATTATTGATAACAATTGAAGGTTCAACTTTTTTGGGTGACATAATATAGAGAAACAAGATCCTTCTGGGAATTCTGAACTTCAAAAACTATGCAAATACCCTTCCCCTATATTCACAGAATATTTGAGCAATACATAGCTGACGCATTAGCTTAAAGCTAGATACAGATGTCACCATAAAAATTACTCTTTAAAGCTAGATACAAATGTCAGCATAAAAGTTACTACTTAAAGCTAGATACAAATGTCACCATAAAAATTACTAAGTAACCAAATAATAAAGCCTCTAAATTAGAAGAGCTGGAAAACTATGCAGCCACCAAATGGTGTCAACTGTTTTCTCCAGGATGAAGCAGCCAAGCTGCAAGGACCTTAGTTTCTAAACTAGAAGAATCGTGGGACATCAAAAGCGGTAAGTTGATTGTTGGTTTTATTACTCATTCTCATATATGTTACTTGGTTTCAATCACAATATATAAACAAATTGGATATAATACAATAGTTCTTTTACGAATCTGATTAACTAACAATCCAAAAGCTAAAAAGAAATGGCAATCCGGGGAACTGGACATAGGAACCAAAATGGATAAGGTGGATAAGGGTCTAATCTAGACACTACTAAAACTCATGCCCTTAAGACAAGCCAGTTCTATTCAGTATTCCAAGTACCAACTAGTTTCAAACACTTCAGAGTAATTTAGTGAAGCAGTGAGGTCGGAATTTCAATAACACAAGAAGTCAACCAGAACCAATATAAATGCTTAATTAAAATCACAAAAGGGTGAGCTACCTCATACCCCTTTTCAAAGAAGCAACTCGACAAAGACAAGCTCAGAAATTACTACAAACAAGTAGAAGCAAAAGGCGAACAGAAGAAACAGCTCAAAAAAACTCTAATGAACAAAATCAGCTCCAAAGTTGCAATTTTTACCGCTCTATCGAGTAAGTATGCTTGAATTGAAACACAAGAAATAAAGGGGTCGAGAGTATTGAACGGATAAAACAACTAATTAAAGCATCCAACACCCACCCAAAAAACAAATCTTGAAAAAGAACCCTAATACCAACCTCTTATTTAACAAATAAATATGTATATATAGATAGATATATATATATATAGGGAGATTATTCAATTCATTAGGTTAAGAGATGCTCACCTCAATAATACTAAAGACCCAAAAGATTCTTCAGGATTGAAAAGAGATAGAGAGAAGAAAGGGAAAAGAAATAGAGAGACCTTGAAAAAGGTCGGCCGTGAATTGCTATAAAGATAGATATAGGATTGTGGATGTAATTATAAAAGAACTCTCTCTCTCTCTAGGCTTGTGTTTTGGCTTTCGTGTTTATATTTGCCACTCCATTGACCACTCGTGCACCGTCATACACCCCAAAACATCTCTTCTCTTCTCTTCTCATCTTTCTCCTTTGGGAAATTCGCCTAAGCAAATCACTACCGTTTGATTTGAATACTTTTATCTTACTGGTCCATTCACCATCAAAGAGAGGATACATGGCCCCACATTGTTGACGTGTCCGCTGGCTGATCTCAATTTTATGTTATTTTTTAATTTTTTATTACATTGAGGGAGGAGAAGGTGGAAAAGAAAGGATCATCTCAACTAGAGGTGCTTATCGGGTGTATATTTAGGCTAATTGGTTCGGCTTATTGGTTATCGGTTATCGGCTATTGGTTTATAAATGTAAAAATCTACCCGGCCTGGTATTTTATTTTGACTGGTAGAAGCTAAACCTGAACCAAACCCTAAGCTAGCCAACCAATAAAATGTTACAAGGATTGGTATTGAATTAACAATTATCGGGCGATTATCAGACGGTTTATCGACTAAATCAAATAGATCATAAAACAAATAAGAACTAAAGATAGGAAAAATTTAAGTCCAAATTTATTTATATAATATTTCTCCAATCGATTTAATCTAATGCCAATTATTATATTCCTGATATGTCAACTATTATGTAACTGTATGTTACTATAACCATAGCACAAGAAATGTTAATGATCACACATGCTCCCAACTTGGGAGTCTATTTGACTTCAGCCTTGCTATAAAATACTCTTAAGTTCTCAATTATATCTAAAGAGAAAAATAAGATTCATGGCAGATCCTAAATAAAAAGGAAGCAATAGTAAAAAATTTATTACTTTTTAACTTAAAAAAAGAAAAGAATGAAGAAAAGAAATAGCAAAAGTAAGGAGTGGTAGACAAAAGCAAGAAGAAAATGATGATTTGTTATGAAGAGGAGGGAGAAACGTAAATATAAAAATTCTTAACGGTTTATTTGATACAAAAATTGAGTAATCCATCCCAAATCGTTAAGCCGTTAATTATAAAATTTCAATCCGTTCATCGACTATTACTCCGACAACCCGATATTATTGGCTACAATTTTGCGGTTTGGTTAACGGTTACGATTCGATTTTAAACAACCTTAATCTCAACCCCAATATTAATCCCTCTTTTGCATTGGCTGTAATTTCTTATAACTATCAGGTATTCGAAATTTACATCAATTCATTCCAGATTCATTTAAGTAAAAATGCTTATTTATCATAAATTTCGCATACATCCCATATTCCCACCATATTCCATGATTGTTGTGAATTGTGATTTCTTAATTGGCTTACCGTTCCCAGGTCTATCTTAACTCCACTGTACTGGATATTTTTTCAAGATTTTTTCTTCTTTTTTTTGGGGCAATTTTCCTGATTATTTGGAAAAGGGGCTGAGATAGGGAAACTTGGAACGAGTAGGTCCTCTCATTTTAAGCAATCTGCAAAAAAATCGTGCTGATATTTGGACTGACATTAACATTTGTTTTGTTATTTTGTTTGTGATTCAACCCCTTGTTGTTCACGTCACCCATTTTTTCTTCCTTTCCTTTTCTTTTCTTTTCTTTTGTCCAGAAAAGAAGAATAAAAGCAAATGTGGAAAACACAATGGATTGGATGATTTACAGTTTAATGGTCAGACAAAAATAAAGCAGTTGCTTAGAAGTTACAAATTACAAATCAAAGTTTCTACATAGTTGGAAACAGGGGGGAAAGTAAAAAAGATTACAAGATCCTCATTTGCTTTACGTAACGGGAAGCCAACAAAAAGTCTAATGCAAGATTTTGCGATTACAATATGATGGGGTAACATCCACGAAAACAATAGTCCACGATCATAACAAGTACATGCATCAAACATAAGAATCTTCCTCATGTCAAAACTTATGCACGCTAATTATGACACCCTAAGCAAATCCAACATCGACAAAACACGGAGAGATGTTGGGTATATAATTAAACAGACCTTAGACCCTAGTGGTGCATTTTAAAGCCGTGCGGGCCTAAGCTCAAAGCGGACAATATCACTGGTGGACTAAGCTGTTACATATGGTATCAGAGCCACTCCACGTCTAACCTTGAATGATAGCGAGACAAATTAGCAAACCTCAGCGAGGACGATGAGTTCCTAAGAAGAGGTGTATGTGACACCCTAGGCAAATCCCACATCGACAAAATACAGGAGAGATAGCCATACGGACCTAGGCCCAAAGCGGACAATATAGATGATGGGCTGGGTTGTTACACTAAGAAACATTATTTTACATTTTCCATGGCAGGAACACATCAGGTATCTAACTTCCTAAAATTATTGCTAGGATACAGTACAGAGCATCAATTCTTAAAACTCTTACACCTGCACTTGAGCATGTTTATAGGTTAAGCTTGTGTACTTAACTACACGTTTTACCCTTTTGATTGATATTGAAACTACATAATCATGAGGATGACTTTAAGCTTCATGATTCCCGTCTGCAATGACCAATACCCGTCAGGTAGGTTAGGCCAGTAGCACACTATTAACCTCATGATTCCAAATCTTCAATCATGGAAGATTGTCTTTGCGTAGGGCTGACACTTCCACCTCGACTTATTTTGAGTGCATCTNCTACATTATTATTCCGCTTTATTACCGTGAATATTATTTTGGTAAGGGGTTTATTCCCAACATCTAAGGCCTTCTGTATTTCCATGTTCATAGCACTGTCCACACTTCCAGATGATAGTTTCTTGTGTGCTTTCTGCAAATGAAGCTTCAGCGAACTGCTGCTCAAGCCAGCGTTCTTTCCACAGATGGGACAAACCTTCATGCTTGGCTTCCGCTGTTGCCATTCCATAGAAACCTTACCATGCAACTTGCGATCTAGGTCCAAAAGAATCCTTGCAAAACCATCATTAGGTTGGGCTCGACGATGAACTCGTCTCAATGTATTCCATGCCTTTAACAAAGTAAACTTCCTGCACCATATAAAACTTTCCGTTATGAAGTTTCTTGCATGACTTCCGGAAAACAAACTGCCTCAATAGTCTACAGGCCAAGTTTTAACAACAAAAAAGAAACTATTCTAATTGCTTCAAAAATGATAACAGCCAATCTTCTAAAGAATTAGCAAGTCAGCTAATGTCCATTCATTTGACATTCAGCTTCACATCAGTCTACAAAACATAAGCCAATGCATAACCCATTCATTAAATCTTTTGCACTTACTTCCTGAGCATTAAATAAGCAAGAACTACTGTAGCACTCCTGCTTCTCCCTTCAAAGCAATGAACCAGAACCTTCCCGCCGTTTTCTTCAACAAGATCGATAAAATCATGAGCTTCGTTAAAGAGTGCACTGATATTAGAATCTTCTTCATCACATATCTGCCCATACAAGAAAAGTAACACCACACATGCAACCTCTGTTAGTATACAACAAATACAAGAGTTGAAGAGCTTCTAAGTGTGTTTAAGAGTTGTTTACAATAACTATTACTAATACTTTTCCTCAATCCCAAGAAAGTCGAGTAGATATTTTAAAAAATAAACAACAGATTACTTAGTTGCTAACTTGGAAACATCAGTAAGAAACTTCTTCAAATTTGTAGCTTGTACACTCTAACAGGTTTGAAAACTACTTCCTCCTGAGTCAAAGATCAAAGGTTTTAGGATAATTATTTCATAGTATGCAAAGACTATACAGATCGCCTAACTTAATTTTTAGGATACTCAACCGAAAAAAGTTATACACAATGGAAGATGGGATGCATCTTGTGAAGAGAAACAGGTGTCATCTCAGTAGCCACATGATGAAGACTCAAAATAAGTAGAATTCTAGCACTTCTACTGCTTTAGAAGACTTCAAGATAGAAGTAGTCAGAGATGCATCAAACAGAAGGACCGATCATAAATTAAATGCCAGATTTTAGCCAGCATGAAAAATGTATATCAAACAAAAGCAAGAAGGTTTTGAGGACTAACGGAAAAGTTCTTATATTCAAATAAATCAGGAAATTGGGAGTCTGACTGCCCAGTTTCATTTGCACAGAGACATAAGATATGTGTGATCCCTAAATGTTGCAGTGTGTACACAGATCTAGCAGCAAGTGCGCCACCAATAAACAAGCTGGCTGAGATTGCAGATGGTTTTTCTGTATTTGCAGCATCAGAAATTAATGATATCCTCTCCAGAATGTGCTCAAGCCTGATCTATAAGTTGCAAAATTGAACATGAAAAGGATTACAACAAAGACAAATTACCATAGTGTCTCAAGGGGCAAGCTGAGTAGGACATTAGTACCTTTAGCTCATAAGCATCAACCACATAATTACTATCACTTCCTTCAAAGAAACCTGAATTAAAATTGTTTTCCTGGCATAGTTTAACTGCATCACTTTTAAGCATCTCATTCCATTGCTCCAACTCTTTATTTAGTTCTGCATCTACCTGAAAAGGAGAAGCAAATGCCTATAATTGAGAGAAGGAACTTGCTCAAGACTTAGAATCTTCTTTTTCATAGAAAAAAGTCTCCAGGATATGGAAGAATTTTGTGTTAAGAGACGAATAAAATTCTTAAAACATTACTGAAATACTTTTAATGATACCCAGCAACTTAAGTAGATCAGATTTTTTTGCAAAGAGATAAACACTTTCTTGTTGGAGTAAATTTCCAACGCACATCACAAACCTTAGCAAACTTATGAAAGTCACGGAGTTTTGAAGTCAAACGGAGACTACGAAGTGGCTCACCACTGCCCTTACAGAGCTTTCCTTGCCAGCTATCACGTGAACTTGGAGAAACAGTAGAATCCAAGCTGTCTCTGCATCCTGAAGATGATGGTCTAGTAGCTGTTCTCTGACATTCTGATTCATTTGAATCCAAATAATTATCATTTGGTGTGCGTTCTTTACTTGGTGTTGATGGGCAATGCCCCGCAACGCCAGCAGATTGTGAAGGTGACTCAGGAATTACCAAGTCTTCTTTCTCAAGATCGCCAGCAGAAGCACGGTTGATAATATTAAGAAATACTCGAAAGAGGCTATCCAGTTTCTGATGAAGTGTGACAATGAATATATGAAATCCCTGCAAGTCACGTAGAGCTGCACGAAATCCACTCCGGAACTCATGCACTATTGAAGCTGCATCAGCTGCCTGATAGTTGTTCATTATATCAGAATCCTCTGGTGGAGATCCTAATTTTCCTCCCGTAATCTCATATAATATTTTTGAAGCATACTCGGGACTGTTAATTAGGAGCTCAACCAGCTTAGGATAATTTTCTTGATCACTTGCACGCTTTCCTGCAGGTGGTCTTCGAGGAACCCCAGAGTCTATTGCTACAACGTGAAAATCTGGACATGACTCATTTGAAGTTTGACTTACACTCATATTGCTGGATTTTGGAGATTCTGTGATGTCTGAAAGGTCGGAACTCTGTGATATTAATCCTGGGTTAGGAGTGCTTATTCTGCTATCTACAGAATTAGCTCTTCTTTCTTTCTGAAGCGCCCGAATCACTCTCGGCCTATATCTATCAATTGCAGAATCGAAGGCTGCTGCTAGTGCGTCCAAGTTTGCAGCATTCACTTTATCAGCTAACAATAAATTTGCAGGGTTACCGCGCCATCTGAGATGGCGACATGGAAGCCGATCTTCATTTCTGATGACAAGATCCAACATCAAAACCCTACCTAGTGCTGCCGCAGTCCTTTCTCCTGCTTCTCTTGAATCAAATGCATTTGAGCTCTCCAACAGGGGGGACCCATGTATGTAACTGAAATAGCAAGTCATAAGGCCAACGAAAGTATCAAAATACAATTCTAGTGACTTAAAACATTTTCTTAGACCAAAGCTACCTATTTCATTTGGGATAGTAAAAGGAGAAATCTGACACAAGGAAGCTAAAGTGGTAACTGTCCTAGTGCACCAAAAATTAGACATATAATCTGCAGTACTAGCAAAGCCCCCAACAAAGTAGAGTTACCTAACTTGGTCTTTCACTCCATTTCCTACTTTCGGCTCCATCATCTTTAACTATTTCCTTTATACATATTTTTTCATAATCTTAAAATAAAATATTCTACATTTTTTAGTAATATATTCAAGCTAAACAGTAAAAAATAAATATGTGTATGCATCAAGCGCAAAATGATTTATGCGTCACCATACATTGGTAAACCGTAAACCATACATACTATTGAATGATAGAGAATTTCCAGGAAGATATTCTCCGTATCAAGACCGATCCTCTTAAGATTTTAGGGATAATTGTTGTAATCTAGAATATCAGATTTATGATTCTTTTAGTATTTTATATGATTCTGTATAATCCCTATTTTAAGAGATTTAGGTGATTCTGCTTCTCAACCTCTTTGGTATATAAAGCCATGTACATGACATTGAAAGATATGAATAAAATTATTCAAGTATCTTACTCTTTCCACACATATTAACACAAGAATGAAGTAAACAGTTGCTAGTCCGTCCACAAGTAGGCAGCAGCTAGTAGAAAGATTGCCTGATCCAATAACAGCTCATTGGCTTTTGGCTTATGCTTTCTAAGAGAGGCCTAATTTGATAAGTTTTACAACCTAAAAAGAGCCAAAGTACCTATCGAATAAATTTTCTTACCGTGAGAAACAGCCTCTTGACTACATTCTCATAATTTTCAAATTGCATTTATCTAAATTACCACCCGTCTCATGCACCAATTCACCAGCAAAGAGATATCAAGAAATAGGGAAATTAATGCACATGTGCTCTAACGCCCCACAAAAACATCAAGTCGTATACGCACTTCATTAACATAAGGCACCGGCTTAGCTCAAGAGCTTCCAGAAGTTCTGAACACGTCATTTCCACAATCCCATCACCTTCCAAAATCGCTGCATCTTTTGCTTTTTCTGCAGCTTCCTTGATCTGTAGCCACTCTGGGCTACAATTATGAATAACCCTGGACTGCAATATTTTCGGAACATAGTTAAAGATATGACCTACAAAATCTCCCTAATAAAACATATAAACAATTATAATGAAGTGAGAAGGAACAACTTGTGGAGTTTGGACACCTAGCCACTTCGCAAATTCATAACCCAGACGTTCTGATTGTGTAGCCATCCTCGAAGATGATATCTTTATAACAGCCGCAGCTTCTTTTGGAGAAGCATCATCATTTTCAGGTTCGTTAAATAGCGCAAAGAATACAACACCCCCAGAATTTACAGTCACCTGCGTTCAGTTGCATGAGCAAATAATTATTAAGAACACAGCAATAATTGTAAAATGCTTAAAGTGTCATGCGTAGTTGACCTTCCCTTTGCCACTCGTTTGTTACTTCTAACAGATATAAAAGCTTATTTTAAACAATAGGTTCATTAATCTCTCATACCAGAAAGTATGTTCAGTTGAAAATGACACATAAGATTATAAAATAGCATTCATGAAGCTCTCAGTAAGGGGAAAAACAAAAGTTTTAAGGAACCTGGAAAGAAAAAAGAGTTGTTAGATAACTAAGGTAAATGCTACTAATTTTTTCTTTTGGATAAGTAAGGACCACGCTATACTTGTTCCAGTCAATTCTACCTCTTATTCAGACAATCAAGTACTGAGCAAACAAACTATCAAAACTGAAATACCTCTAATGCTTTATTGGTTTCATCCTCGGACTGTTCGGTACTACTACTGTGTTCTGTGTGGTGAAGAGAAGACAGCATGTTCCATGAAAAGGTGCTTGATTCAATGTCCAAAACCGCAGCTTTGCCAAGTCTCTCCCATAAATTTACTTCTGGCGTTTGCTCAGATGGTAGAGGATCAACCTGATCAAGACTTGACTCTTCTGCACTGAACGAGAATTATACTAGAGCTACATTATAATTGCAGTCTGTACATTTATAGAGCTCAATGAGTCCATGCAATTATTTGCACAATAGACAGAAAAAAGAACTAAATTCCTATTCATTTAAGGATATGGGCCCACAACAGCACCTAATACTTTTGCTCTCATCTGAAAGTTTGAAATTTTTCTTGAAAGAAAGATGTGTTAGAACAAGCACTTTGAAAGAGATGGTGTCACTTGTTTAATCTCAATATTGAAAGGGAAAACACTGTTCCCATTCTTCCCTTCTTTTAGGAAGTGCCAACATGGTTGTAGACTCGCGCTCAAAAGAAACTTCACCCCTCAACTCTAAGCAGCTTAGTAGCTACCATTGGAGGAAAGAGCTTTGCCAAACTTAGGTACTTATTTTTCACTTGATTTCCTTGTGAAGAAGATGTTCTTTTGCTCCGAGAACTATGTATAGAAACAGAACAGAACAAGACTTACAACTCCTACATTTCATTTTACATGGTACTCTTTCCTTTTTGGCCAATACCACAAAGATAAACACATTTCTGTATCTCGGAACTCTTTGATTTTAACATTCTGGTTTTGCCCTTAACGACATGCTCTTCGAAAATTGGAGTCGCATCTATAAACAAGAAGATACTATGGGTACTTTGATTTGGGTTAGCCGTTAGTATAAAAAATCTTCCTTGTTTTCTTAAAATGTCATAAATAGCCAAACACCACTCTATTAAATGAAATAAATCTATGGTTCCAGATGTGTTACAAGTTCCATTGCCTAGATTGACCTCGGATCACTCGCCTATTATGCTAGATGGCAGTAGAAGGAGGAGTTTGCGTATTCCTTTCAGGTTCGAGAATATGTGGCTTCAGGTGTCAGATTTTGAAGATAGAGTGGATGCTTGGTGGAATGGGTATGTAGTGACTGGCACACCATCTTTTCGACTTGCAAGCAAGTTGAAAATGCTAAAAGGAGATATTAGGAAGTGGAATAAGGAGGTGTTCGGGAGGGTAGAAGTTAAAATAAGGGAGCTAATTAATGAGGTGGGGGAGATGGAGCGTGTGGAAGCTTTGAGGGCCTTAGAAGAGAGCGAGAGAGTTAGGAAAGAGGAGGCAAATCAGGAGCTAGCCGCTTTAGCGGTCGCTCAAGAGACCAGTTGGAAGCAAAAATTGAGGGCGTTGTGGTTGAAGGAGGGGGATTCAAATACAAAAAATTTCATAGGCTCGCGATAGCAAATAGGAAGAGGAACTTTATTGAGTCCATAGAAGTGAATGAAGTGGTGTTTGAGGGGGAGGAGGAAGTTAAAGGGGCTATTGTTGGCTATTATGCACGTCGGTTTAAAGAAGATGCTAGTTGGAAACCTAAATTGGGGGTGGGGGGTTAGATTTTAGTCAAATAGGAGAGGGGATGAGGCAGTGTTTTGGAAAGCGTTAAGCGCAAAAAAGCAACGAGGCCTCGCTTCACCAAAGCGAGAAGCGAACAATGAGCACTAGCAGAAAAACAGAGCAGAAAACAGAAAAACAGAAAACAGAGCGATAAAACCAGAAAAACAAAGCATAAACCAGAAAACATAGCATAGTTTTAGGACACAAAAAAAGAGCAATAAACCAGAAAACAGAGCATAGTTTTAGGGCACAAAAATAGAGCAATAAAAAATGAAAAAAATAGAAAGAAGAAGAGAAAAATAGGGCAGAAGAACAAAGCATAAATTAGATGTCTAGAACAGAGCAATAGAAAGTGAAAAAAATAGAAAGAAGAAAGAAGAAGAAGAAGAAGAAGAAGAAGAAGAAGAGAAGAAGAGGGAAGAAGAAAGTCGTTGGAGTAGCAGTCGTCGTTGGAGTTGGAGCAGCAGAAGAGCGTATGTTTATTTGGCAACTTACGGTTTATTTGCCAATTTTTTTTTAAAAAACCCTAGCAGATGCCTTCACGTCGCTTAAACACGCTTTTTCCATCGCGGCGCTTCTCGCTTAAGCGGTTAAAGCGTGCACTTTTTTTATGTGAGTCGCTTTTGTAGCAGAAAAGCAAGCGATAGAACAGCGTCTCGCGTCGCTTCAGCGCTTAAAGCGAGAAGCGAGCGCTTTTAATAACACTGGGATGAGGGAGTGGTTGGAGAGGGCTATGGAAGAAGAAGAGGTAAGGGCAGCGGTAGTGAGTTGTGCGGGTGACAAAGCTCGGGGATCGGATAGATTCACTTTGGCTTTCTTCCAACATTGTTGGAGGATAGTTAAGGTGGAGTTGATGGAGACCACTGTGGAATTTCAAGAAACTAGGGAGTTTGAAAGAAGCCTTAACGCATCTTTTGTCACCATTGCGCCAAAGAAGGAAAGAGCGACGAGTATCAAAGATTATAGGCCTATTAGTCTGTTGGAAAGCATCTATAAGATTATTTCTAAGGTACTTTCTAATAGACTAAAAAAGGTTTTGGATGAGATGGTATCCACTTCTCAAAAATGCATTTGTGGAAGGAAGACAGATCCTGGATGCTGCATTAGTGGCGAATGAGGTGGTCGATTCCAGAAAGAAGAGAGGAGAACCGGGAATCTTATGTAAGCTAGATCTTGAGAAAGCTTATGATCATGTGAATTGGGATTTCCTAGATTTCATTATGTCCAAGATGTGGTTTGGGGACAAATAGAGGAGATGGATCAAATTTTGCATTTCTACGGCTAGATTCTCTATTTTGGTGAATGGAAGCCCATGTGGTTTCTTTGGGAATTCGAGGGGTTTGAGACAGGGGGATCCACTATCCCCTATGTTATTTATTTTGGTGATGGAAGCATTGAGTAAGATGATGGATAGGGCGGTCTCTAGAGGTCTAATTAAGGGCTTTGATGCTTCGCTTAGTGGGCATAGCAAAGTGACAGTTACTCACATTTGTTATTTGCAGATGATGCGTTGGTCTTTTGTGATGCAGAGGTGTCTCAGGTAACTTATTTGAGACAGATTCTCTGATGGTTCCAGATTGTGTCAGGCCTTAAGATCAACCACAGAAAATGTGAGATCACACCGATGGGAGAAGTGGATAATATTGAAGAGATTGCACATGTGTTGAATTGTAAGGTGGGTACTTTACCTACTACCTATTTGGAGCTACCGTTGGGTGCATCGAGCAAAGATCTTGCAATGTGGAACCCAGTGATTGAGAGAGTAGAGAAATGGCTAGCGGGATGGCAAAAGAAGTACTTGTCGATAGGAGGGAAAGAAGTTTTGATCAAAAGCACTCTATCTAGCATTCCTACAAATTATATGTCATTTTTACATGAGAGGTTGGAAAGACTTCAACAAAACTTTTTATGGGACACAACGGAAGGAGCAAGAAGGTATCATTTAGTGAACTGGAGAGTTGTCACATCTCCAAAGGAACGGGGAGGTCTCGGGGTGAAAGATCTCAAAGTCTTCAACAAAGCTTTGCTAGGGAAGTGGATATGGAGATTTGGGGTGGAGGAGAGTGCATTTTGGAGGGGGATGTAGCAGAAAAATATGGTATTATGGAAGGGGGGGTGGAGGNTGACCTTGGAAGGGGGTGGAGGACTAGAAACATTAGAGTACCGTTTGGGTGTGGCTTATGGAGGAGTATTATGAAGGGGTGGGAAGATTTTAGTGGCCATATTTCCTTTAGGGTTGGGGACGGAAGCCATATTAATTTTTAGGTGCATAAGTGGTGCGGGTAGAACGAGTTGAGGGAGCTTTCCCTAACTTATATAGAGTATCTTGCCAGAAAGAGATGACGGTCCAACAAATTTGTAGGTCCCACGGAGGGGTGCTTCATTGGGATTTGAGATTTATGAGGAACCTACAAGATTGGGAGATAGAAGAATTTCACAATCTAGTTGAGTTATTGTATGGGTTGGATACACCGAATAATGTATCGGATGTATGGAGATGGCGGGAGAGTAAAAATGGATTATTCACGGTTAAATCTTATTATAAGAGGTTAATAGTGAGAGAGGAACAAGTTTTCCTTCATTACTCGATTTGGATTTCTAGAGCACCAAGAAAGGTGTGTTTCTTTGTGTGGTTGGCGGCGAGGGGAGCGATTTTGACAGCGAAAAATCTGAGAAAGAGAAGGATCACCTATGTTAGTTGGCATTTCATGTGCAAATGCTCGGGCGAAGATGTAGATCATCTCCTATTGCATTGTAAAGTGGCTAATCGGTTGTGGAGAGTGATCCTTAATTTGTTTGGGGTGCAATGGGCGATGCCGGGTACAGTGAAGGAGGCGTTGCATAGTTGGGTTCACATGAGTGGAAAGAGAAGTCTAAGGGCATGGAGTGTCTCTCCCTTAGCAATCATGTGGGTGATATGGAAAGAGAGGAATAGGAGGGCTTTTGAAGGGGTGGAACAAGATTTTGTGAAATTGCAAAGTAGTTTCTTGTTCC